AGTCTCGCGGCGGGGCGAGGGCCATTGCAATGTGACAGCGCAAGAAAGGGAGGGCGGTGACACAAAGGAGGCAGTACCTGAGCGAAACACGGCTACGAAAAAACGAAGGACATGAAACTGAAACAATCGCGGCCCCTCGCCCCTTCCTTTCCACCCTTGCCCCGATACTGCGTTGGACAAGGGCTGGGGGTCAGAACGATGTGAGTCCCATATTGCACTACTGCGGAACCTCTTCCTCCTCCTCCTCCTCGTCCTCCTCGTCCTCCTCGTCCTCCTCCTCCCCCTCCTCCGCCCTCCTCCTCCTCCTCCTCCTCATCCTTTTCCCCTTCCTCCTCCGCCTCGGTCTGGAGGAATCAATCGGAATCTATAGGGATCTATAAGAATCCATCGGAATCCATAGGCATCTAATGGAATCGATAGGAACTTATACGGAATCTATACGAATCCATGAAAACCCACGGAGGTGCACTGCTGGCGCCGCCCGAGGCAGGGGCGAGCGCGATAGCACGAAGAGAGCGCGAGCCTTCGGCGCGGCTGGCGTGCACGGGGAGCCGGCCGCAGCGGCGGCCGGGGGCGCGGCCGCTGGGGGCGCGGCTGCCTGCCAGGAACTTGTCGACTGGGCAAAAACACGTGGGGATTCCGGAAGCCCTGAACCTGAAAAGGTGCCATCTAAGCAACGAAACAAAAACGGGTCTTAAGCGAGATGACACAACGACCTCACGCCGCAGCATATGCGGGCCGCCCGCACGGCACGCTACATTGGATACGAGGGCGCTCACGCAAGCCCTCACGCGGGCAGCTTACGCGCCAATGTCGGCGAAGACGACTCTGTTCTCTTCCGCCGCTCATCTATTACCTGGACAAACGCGGGGGTTGTTGCACGCCGGCTGGAAGAAGTAGCTACAAACACGAAATAAAAGGCGGAGCAAGTAGATCTGGCGCAGGCCCTCCCAGAGAATACCAAAATACAGCAAAAGCATATCGACTATTGAAGTAGGAAGGCGCTTGAAGTAGACCGGCATCTGGGAATCTAAAAATGCCTATCATCAACGACCCTCGTGGCAAGCGCGGTCAATCGTCGAGAGCCAGGAGGTGGAGCGGAAAAAATGGGTGGGGATATCGGTCGCAGTCTGCGCCATTTGACCCGCAAACACAGCTCGCCAAAACGCCTCGGGGTGTTCGCCGCGCCCGGCCTGGGAAAGACGGGCCTGCCGCGCCGCAGGGAAGAGGAGCGAGTCGTTCGGCTGGTCGGAAAAGGTTGACGTCCCCAATCGCGGCGGCCAGACGCTTGAGCTCATCGCCCCGGGCCCATACTGCATTCTCATTCCAACAAGTACACATTCGACTGCGCTGGTTATGGTCGAGCTCGTAGTTGTGGATGTTCACAATGCGCATGCTGTTCTGCGACTGTCAGTTGAATATCGGGAGGAGGAGGGGGAGGAGGAGCAGCAGCAGCAGCAGGAGAAGCAGAAGGAGGAGAAAATGGAGGAAGAGAGGGAGGAGGAGAAGGAGCAGGAGGAGGAGGAGGAGCAGCAGCAGCAGCAGGAGGAGCAGCAGGAGGAAAAGGAGGAGAAGAGAGGAGATAGGGCCCCCCAGGCGCCGACGAGAACCTGCAGGACCAACCCAAGACAAAAAATCACTAAGATGTAGACCACGCCGCCTTCGTCGTCGCCGACGTCGTCGCGCGCCGTCATCCAGCAGCTGCCCCACAGCGGCGGCGTCGACTGGGGAAGCCGAAAGGTACCGATGCCGCCACTCCCCCGCGACCTCTCTCCCGGGGTGCCTTCGGACCCGCATTTCGAGGCGGATCCAGCCGTGGAGGCGAGGGCCTCTCGCAGGAGGCCCCGAAAAGCCGAAAACGAGGCAAGGGCAGCGGTATCGGCACCTTCCCCTGTTCTGATCGGCAGCGCCATCGTCGCCGCCATGGGACGCACGGAAACATACTGGTACTAGACTTCCTCCTACGCGCGTCCGACCCGAACATATCGTACATCCATCTTGTAGCGCATCGCTTCCCGAGCGGTGCGGCCAGATCGCGCCCGCCGCGACGCAAAGACCAGAAGACTTCTCGGTGCGCGCGTCCCCCCCTGGGGGTGCGACGCATACATCATTTAGTACTAGTGTTATGTCGGGCGTGTCCCCCTGCAGGGGGATTTTCGACGAAAAATAAAAAACATACATCAAACATACCCCCGAAAGGACAAAAAAATACTCAAAACATAGTCCCCAGACTATTTTTGGACTATTTTTGGACTATTTTGATGGTATTTTCCATTTTTCGTCGAAAATCCCCCTGTAGGGGGACAGGCCCGACTCAGTACCAGTATGCTGGGGCGACACCGCCGCTACGCCGCCGCCGCCGCTCGGCCTGCGGCGCAGCGGCCGCCCCGCCCTTCGGCGCGGGCGCGGGCGCCGGGGCCGCCGGGGCCGCCGCTGCCCTCGCCTCCGGCGGCAGCAGCCCGCCGGGGGCCGCCACCGAGCGGCGGGCGGGGGCCTCCTCGACGCCGCCGTCCAGCCTGCGGGAGCCGCGCGGCGGAGGAGAAGGAGGAGGAGGAGGAGGAGGAGGAGGAGGAGGAGGAGGAGGAGGAGGGAGAGGAGGAGGAGGAGGAGGAGGAGGGGGAGGAGGGAGAGGATGGAGAGGAGAGGGAGGAGGGGGAGGAGGAGGAGGAGGAGGAGGAGGAGGAGGAGAGGAGGAGGAGGAGGAGGAGGAGGAGGAGGAGGGGAGGAGGAGGAGGAGGAGGAGGAGGAGGAGGAGGAGGAGGAGGAGGAGGAGGAGGTGGAGGAGGGAGAGGAGGAGGGCGAGGAGGGGGAGGAGGAACCTCCTCGCACTGCGGGGTAAATCAGGGCGCGGGAGGTCGTTGGCAAGTCTCGGCCTCCCAGGGCCCCCCGGCCCGAAGCGCAGCCTGCAACGGCCTTCGGCGGCAAAATCCATGCCCTTGCACCGCCGATCCACGATTCGAGCAACGACTCGGGCAACTCGAGGAGCGGCGGGGGCAGGTTTCGGAATTCATCGAGCGCGCGGCGAAATCCTAACCCTGCCCCGCCTCCCATCGAGTCATGAGGACCGATGCTTGGTGGGGATTCAGTCGGACCGAGGCCAGAAGAGCATCCCTCCTCAAGAACATGAGGCCCTCCGTCAGTCAAAACAAACAAGACTATCCAAGGGCACCCTCCCCCAGGACGCACAACAACGTCCAACAAGCACGAAGAGCATCAAGGTGCCCTCCCCGAACCGACCTCGATCTCATCCCCTCGGTCCGACCGTACAGTGGAGGCCCGACCACAAAAAACCTTCCACCAGAAACCCAACCCCGAGACCCCAGGACGTCCCGTGGCTCTAGGCGTGGGGGCACCACCTTCTCCACGGCAAACCCATCGAGACCCAGGAAACTCAGGGCACCCTGGAGGCAAGCAGGGCGTTTCTTGGCGTGGGCCCCCACATGCATACCTCGGTCCGACCGCAGGGTTCGGACGTCGCCACCGAGGCGTTCGGCGCGCGGGCCCGTGGGCTCCTCCCCCCCGGGGGCGCCCCAGGGAGCTGGCCCGGCATGAACCTGCGGGCGCCCCGGGGGAGCGTCCTGGCAGGCGCCCCCGGGCTTGCCTCGAGCAGGCGTCCTGGCAGGTGGGCGACGACCAAAAACGGGCCTTTCGCGAGATGGCATAGCGATCTCACGCGGCGGCTTACGCGGGCCGCCAGGGCGGCACGCCACATTGGAGACGAGGGCGCTCACGCGCGAGCTCACGCGGGCAGCTTACGCGCCAGCGTCGATGAAGACGACCCCGTTTTTCTACGTCGCTCGGGTGACCTCGAGCGTCCCTCAAAGAAGCGTGCTGGCAGGCATGTCTGGGAACCAGCAGATCAATGCGGGGGGGCTGGGCAGTTTGTACCTCGGGGTCCAACTCTTTGGATGTTCTCGCACGCCTGGACTGAAAAAATCCATGCGCTGGAAACCTGGGTTCGGTCGGGGAGGGAGGGAGCGTGCAGAGGTTGCAGAGGGTGGTCCTGGCCCAGTCCGGCCCAACCCTGGGGGAACATACGGTCCGCCACCGCGCCCTCGAGGCACGAGTTGGAGTGTTCTCAGGTCCCTTGGTCGATCCCCTGAAGCCTCAATCCTGAAGATTAAAGTAAGGCCGGGACCCCCCAAAAAACAAATATTTTGGGGCTCCCAACGTTCCCCCTGCGGCTCCCCGCGGGGGGAGCGAGTGGAAGCGGGAGCGGGCCGCGGCCCAGGGTCGGCGTGTCCCACACGTGCGCGTGTGAGGCGTGCGCGCGTGTGCGCGCGTCGCCGCCTCTAACCAGCCTCGAACTTGCCCCCGCCCCCAGTGAGGGGCGAGCAAAAAAACGAGGACACTCTTAGGGATGTGCCCTCAGAAACCGAGGGAATCCTCAAAATCGGCATCGGGGTGAGATGATGCCAAACACCGGGCTAGGGATACGCTTCCAACTGTTAATATTCTGCACACACAGGCCGACGTCGGGGCCTGCCCTTTTTGCACACAACTGTCGGCGCAGTTCGGCTCTCGTCTACGGGACGCACAAAGACATACTGACACTATATGTCCTCCTTGGAGGCGCGCGTCCGACCCGAACGTATAGCATACCCGCCTTGTAGTGTGTCGCTTCCCGAGCGGTGCGACCAGAAAGCGCCCGCCACGACGAATATACTATATGTAGAAACTTATACAAGATGGAGGATCTGGATGGGGCTAGGTCTCTTTCACCTCAGGCCTGGGCGATCTCCTTGATACAGAAAGGCTATGAATATACGCACGTGCATGCATGCAATGTTCACTACATCTCGCTCGGGACCCCTCGAATCTCTGCACGCCCCCTGAGGGCGACGTCGGAGGCTCCACGAGGCGGCTGATCAGACCGCACAGCGAGAAAATTCTTTCAACCTCACCCCGCTGGAAAACAAGCGGGCTCTGGCGATGTCGCTCAAGCCCTTCTGCCGGCGGTCCTCTTGACCCTCCGGCAGGGTATCGCTCTCAGCCCTGACTCACTCTGCCCAGGCACCCTGGGACCACTCTCCTAGCGGAACGAACCTCGGTGTGGTCTTGTGCCAGGAATATGTCACCTGGCTCTGAGTCGAGATCGTTCTCCTCTCGACCTTCTCCCTCTTGGCCTTAGCGGCTCTCTTTGGAGCCACGTCCTGGACCATCTTCATCTCACTCTCCCTCGCGTCGGTGGGCCTCACGAAGTAGCCCACACACCAGCCTGCACAGCAACCTGCCACGCAGAACAGGATTGCCACGAGGATCGCCACCCCGATGAGCACCATGCCCTCGAGGTGCACGCCCGTGCCCAGGCGCGTGTCCTTCAGGATGATCTCCTTCTTGTCCGTCTCGTAGCTGTAGACGTCGCACTCACCGTCTGCCTTCACCGAGCCCAGGCTGTCCATGAGGGCTATCAAGGCCGCTCCGACCTTCGCCATCTTGGACGTCGTGTCGCTCACGAAATTGACTCGGATCGCGGTGCTCTCCTCGATCTCGTCTGCGCCCTCCAGCGGGCGTCGCCCCAGCTGCCCCCGCAGCCAGTGGAACCTCTGGCTCGCCAGCGCCTTGGTGCCGATGTCGGCCAGGTTGGTCTCCCCAGCCTGCTTGACCACCGCCAGCTTCTTGTCCCGCACCTTCGCCTGAAGCCACAAGGTGCGGACCTCCAGGTGGCGTATCCTGCCAACCCCGATGCGGTGGCAGATCGCCTTCCCTGCACTCGAATCCATCCTGACCCTGATCTTCACGTCCATGTCTAGAAACTTCATCACGCTCTGGAGGTGAATCGCCTCGGCTGCCACCGTCACCGCCGCGTAGTACTCCGCCTCGGCTGAGCTCAGCGCCTGCGTGCACTGGCCGCGCGAGTACTCTAGGAGCGTGCAGCCCCCACAGCTCAACACTCCACATGATACGCTCTTCCTGTCGACGGTGTCTCCAGCCCAGTCCGAGTCGGTGTAGCACTCCAGGATATCCACCTCACCCTCTTTGGGGAAGAACAGCCCGTAGTCACGAACTCCAAGTAGATACCTGCCCAAGTGCTTCAGCCTCTTCATGTCATTGACGGTGGGCTTCGACATCCTCTTACTCAAAACGTGCACTGCGAACGTGGCTTCCGTGATGTAGTTGATCATGTACCTTGCGATGCCCACGCACTGCCTGTAGAGCGTGGCGTCATCAGCGTCCAACGGCTCCTTGAGATCGTCCTCCAGCAGCTTCGCCACGATGGGAGTGGGCGAGCTCTTGGCCCTTCCCAAGTTCAACAGCTCGACGATCTTGTCAGCGTACTTCCTATTGCCAGTCAAAACCATGCCATCATGTACTCTCACTCTCCCTCCTTTCAAATGATTGTACTTGTCACCAACCTTCAGCAGCTTGCTCACCTTGATCTTGACCTTGCTGGCCAACTCCGTCGTGAACGACTGAAGCTCAACATCGCCCGCTGTGGCGTAGATGTCGTCCTGGTGGAGCTCCAGGTCCACGGAGTCCCGCTCTCGGCGATAGAAGCACGGCTGATCGGGGCACTGGACGAACCCCATCTCCGACACGAGGGTACCAGTCATGAAGTCGCTGAACCCCCTGCTCGCGTCCCGTTCGCCGTAGAGCTTCTTCTTCATCCTCCACATCGTCCGTGTCGTGTTGCCCTTGAGAGCCTCTGCCTCCATCCACTCCTTGGGCGGCACAACCGCCACTAGCCTGTCCTGCATCGCGTGGAAGTAGGCATTGACAGCATCAATGATGACCGTGGGTTGGTTCATCTTCACCGCCTTGAAGTCTATGAGCCTCCCCGTTGTGGGCTCGCTTGCCGGTGTGAACAACCCCTCTCGCTCTGGGTCCATGCTCTTGAACTCCCTGGCAACGAATCGGCATCGGATCTCATCACCCTTCTCTTGGTACACCCACTTGGTGGACAGCCACGTCCACGTAGAATCTATCTCGTCAGGCGATACTGCTTCGAACACGTCAAACTCCTGCATCGTGTTGATCTCCTTGCACTTGCCAGCCTTGATGAGGTCGATGTCGTACTCGCCCTCGTGCCAGTCAATGTCCATCTCGGGGTCCATGGCGGGTGCCGTGTCAGCCTCGTCCATCACGAAACCGTCGACGCCGCCAACTGTGCCCATCTCGACTTCAGGGGACTCGGCTTCAGAAGCACTCCGCTTTCTGGCTCTCGGAGTGGCGGTTGAAGCAGCGGGCTGAGCCTGCTGAGACGAGGAGCTGCCACCTCCTTCTTGCCTCGGCGTGGAGACCTCTACGTCTTCCATGCTGCCACTCTTTGCACTCTTGTAGCTCTGCCCGTCGTCAGCAATCCCCCCTTCGATCGTGGCGTCCGTAACCCTCTTGTCCTGCTTGGTGTCCTCGACCTCTGGCTCGTCCTGCTTCTCCTCAGGCGGGACCGCTGGGACGACAACAACCTTCTTGCCCTTCGGTCTCCCGATCTGGCCGATGCCTCGATCCCAGGGAACTCCCACCATCTTGGCCACGAGCTCGAGGTCGCTCTGGTTCTCCTCGGGGAGCCTGCGGACCGTCCTGACCAGGTGCACCCCGCTGCTCGTGCCCATGAGGAACTCATCGCTCTCGTAGGTCTTGCCCAGGAAAATACCCTTCTCCCACATCGACTTCGACTTGCGGCTGCGCCTGCCTCCTGTCATGTGGCCACTCGTCGACATGGGGTGTCTGAACATCGCGGCCTCTGCAAACCTCAGAATGACTCCGTGATACTTGGTGCCTGTAGCATCTTGATGAGGTGTCCTCCCATTTGACTTGACATGGAACATCTCCGTGATGAAACCAACATGCCTGACCAGCCACGGCCACAACACGTGACTCGGACCGATCTTGATACCCAGCATCTTCTCGGTGGCGGCCCTGATCGTCCTGGTCTGGCCCTGTAGGATCTTCTGTTGCGCCCCCACTGCCCCAAGCGACTGGGATGAGTACCTGGGGGTCTGCTCCACCGTGACGTTGTACTTGTCTATCTTGAGCCTCTTGGCCGCCACTGCGTTCGCGATGCTGACGATGCTCGGCTCGCCGTCAGTTCTAAGTCTGAGCTTCGTGGCCCCGAGTCTGCGGAGGAAGCTCGCGATCGCCGTCACCGTGTAGTCCTGATTGCCTCCCTTCTCGGGGAGGCTGAGCTGCAGAGGGACGCCTGTGTCGCAGTCGATGACGGCCAGCGTGGTGGAGAATCTGTTGGCCGCATCCTCCGTCTCCTCGCCATCGTCCTTCAGGAAATGGTAGTCTATCTGCACGACGGGTACCTCTGGCTCCTTGTCTGTGAGAAACTGGACTCCACGATGAGGTGCAGCATCTCCCTTTCCAAACACACACTCCAGACACCATGGCTCGAACCTCGCATGGGTGAGCTCGTGTTGCCTCACAGTCTCCTCATCTGGCCTCTCAGGGATCTTCAGCGTCCTCGGCACCTCAGGGTCCACGCCTTCTCGAAGTCGTCGTTGACGTTCTTCCAGCGCCTCCTTGACCTTCATCCTCTCGTCCAACTGGTGTTCGCACTTGACAAGTCTCTCCCACAGCTGCCTCTTGGTGCCGTAGATAGCCGCGTCCACGACCCCTAACTTCCTCAACTCCTTCAGGCGCGTCCTCAGTGCCTCGACCGACGACTGGGGACCCAGGATCTCTCGTGGAGGTCCAGCCTGTGGTGGTACAGGCGCTTCTTGAGGATCCTGTGGCGGTGCCGTGGGCAGCAGAGCGTGTGGAGCTTGCAGTTCTGGTTGCACCGACGGTACGGCTTGCCCTTGTGCCTCCTGATCGACAACTGGTGCCACTCGATGTCGTTGAGCACCAGGTTCCAGCACACGACACTTCGCGTAGAAGCTCTTCCCGATCATAGTCAGAGGGATCTTCCTCTGTGTGCCGTTCAAGCTCGGCGGGGCCATGTAACTATTCCCCTGCTCCAGGTGAATGACAGCACCTCTCATGACCCTGATCCCGCAGCTCAGCACGGGCTTGCTGAAGTCTCCGATGCGGAACCGATTCGTGGCCATCACCTCGTTGCCCGTCTCGTCCAGGAAGGCGATGCCGACGTTCCGCTCGCCGTAGTCCTTGATCTCCTCGTTCGTGGCCGTCCTCAGCTCCACGCTGGTGGGGTCCTCGACGTCGTCGCTCGAGTGACCGAAGCTGAGGGGACATCCGTCCGCGTCCGACCCGCTGTCGATGGAGACCCACACGTACCTGCTGTTGTCGTTGATGGTGTTCACGCTCTCGGTGACGCCCATGACCCACAGCTCGTCCTCGTTGTTAACAATCCTCTTGATCTCCGCGTTCTCCGGCTTCGACCTGCACTCTGAAGCCTTGTGACCCGTCTTGCCGCACTTGTCGCACTTGATGTGTGACCTGCAATCCTTGGCCTCGTGGCCTATCTTCCCGCACTTGTCGCATCTTTTCCTGTCCTTGCCCTTGCCTTTCGGGTCCTTGTCTTTACCTTTACCTTTCGAGTTCTTGGCCGCTCCACCGCCTGGGGCCCAGCAGTCTCTTGCCCAGTGGCCCTTCTTGCCGCAGTTCGCGCAAGAATCACGGTCTCCACGGCCTTTTCCTGCGTCAATCCTCGCTTGCTTGCCATACCCCTTCGGCGGCTTGGAGATGCCGCAGACGTCGCCGTTGTCTTTCACCAGTCCGACGTCCATGGGCATGGGGCCATCATTCGTGCACTGGATGCCGTGAGGAGCTCCTGTGGTCTCGTAGACCTTCCCACTCGCGATGTAGTCGGTTACCACCTTGGCCAATCTGTTGTAATCTTGGCCAATCGCCCCCAGGGACTGACGAATCACGGCCTTCACGTCCTCTGGGGCCCATCTGACCACGACGGCAATCCTCGTGCCCTCCGTGACCTTCTCCATAGACTGGGCCTCGTAGAGCGAGACGCTCTTCTCCCACTCCTTCCAGGCCGCCTCCCAAGCGCGGACACCGCTCCTGACGGCGGTCTCCCACTCGGGCTTCAGGACTCCCATCAGCATCGCCGTCAGTCTTCCTCCAGACTTCGGCTCGTACTCCTCCTTGAGTCTCTTCCATCCTATGGCACCGTTGTTCTTCGGCACCATCTGCAGAATCGTGAGGGCCTTGCCCTTCGTAGTAGCGATCAGTAGGTGGTACAGCACCTTCATCCTCAGTTGGATCTTCTCTGACTGGGCCGCCCAGCCTAGTTCACTCTCTGCTGTGTCCTCACAGTGCGTCATGATCTCCTCAAGGTCGACGAGTCCAGCCGTCGACTCGAACACGAAGCACCACTGCCTCCAGTCCTCGTCATCGCCCGAGAAGACTCCGATCCTGCCGAGGATCTTCGTGTCCACGATGCTCTCGAGCCTCTTATCCTCCGCCGCCGCAGCCGCTCCCCTTGGACTCTGTTGGCCTGCTGCCGAGAGGGCTTGAATCTGGGCCGCCTGCTCTCCGACAACTCGCTGCAGCTCCTGGAGAGCCGCTTCCATCTGAATCCGTCCAGGAGGGATCGGTTCTCACGCTCGGCTGCGGCAGATCACGCTCCGCCTACCATGTAGAAACTTATACAAGATGGAGGATCTGGATGGGGCTAGGTCTCTTTCACCTCAGGCCTGGGCGATCTCCTTGATACAGAAAGGCTATGAATATACGCACGTGCATGCATGCAATGTTCACTACATCTCGCTCGGGACCCCTCGAATCTCTGCACTATAAGATTTCTTCGCCCCTGAGGGGGGCGACGTGCACATGGTAGTACTGGTAGTATGTTGGGTGACGCCGAGTCCACAATGTTGGGTGTAAGTGTTCCTTGTAGTGTCACCTCGTTAGTGGAGGGACAAAAAGCGTGCGCGCATGCTCTCCGCTGCCTGCTGCTTGACCCGCAACTGTCTCTTATGCACACTACCGCCAGGGGCTCCTTCACTGGTGCGGGCGCGGGAACGGCAGGTGAGAGTTCAAGCCAGCTGATCGCGGCATTAACAATAAGATCCAAATCCGTGCGGCGTGTGCTGATTGTTCCTGTGCGGGCACTGATGATGCCCAGTGCACTGACGACGAATCTCAAAAATCCCCATGGACGACACTGCCGACACACGACGAAACATGCCGACCGTCACACCCTGATCGATACCCTCTTGAAACAGAATGTGCCGCACATGGTTTCCAGCGGTAACGTGGGGCACGAAGCATCGAGCAGCAACAGCCCGGACGCGGTAGAACTACACGAGAATCGGTACTTTTGGAAATATGTGGGAGCGGCCGCGAAGGAAGACAAAGGAAGGAGCCAAGCTCAGGGCGTGCAGCACTTGACGCGTGGTGCTGGCGGCATCAAGCTCCAGAAGTAGTCGTGCGAAGTAGCCACTGGAGCATGCCGACAATGCATGACAACTTTTGCTTGCTGGGACTGCCATTGCTCAAGCCGTATGGCGCTGTGCCAGCCACCCGGGGATGGCGGAAAACACTGCGGGCTGTACATCGGACCTCTGCAGCTCGGATGGCTGGCACAGGACAGGGCCGCAGCCGCAAACGTCACGCTGAATGCCTGTGGGCACGTTTCCCTGACGGTCTCGGATCGCCGGCCTGCCAACACGCAACCACCCTCCCGTTTTAGCGGCCATATACTGTTGTGATGGCTGCGGGATGTAGCACTGTGGCTCTCGGAGGCAACGCACCCCAGGCGACACGCAAGCCAGAGACCACTCAGACGGTTCAAGCACGTCGTGTGCCATCTGGACTACCGACTTCGATACGGAAGTTAGATTTGAGATGCGGAAGGAGCATTCCTGCAGCACTGCACGGGATCCAGAACCTCTTCCATGGCACGACTCTGCCACAAGATCGGTGGCCTCACATCTCCTATCATGTGCATTGTCTCATCTGGCCACGCCGACGTGCCCTTCTTCGAAGCACATCCGATCGTCAACTCTCTGAGCGCGTCCGATCGACGCTGCACCGTCACTGGCACCGCACACTCTTTCCGTCGGCGGCAAGGCAAAGTTGGCTGCATCAGCGAAGGAGCTAGACGGGGGCACCGAAAACCGAGTTGGCCAGCGTGCAAAAGAGGCGAAAAGGGGGGGGCGGGCGGCCCCTTGGGGGGGAAAGGAGAGACCACTCAGGGGCGGACGAGTCTGCACCTGAGTATGCACTGGCGCCGCACACGCACATCCTTCACTCCGCCCTATGGTGAGACGCACCCCTCCTCCACGCCCCTTCTCCCTCCGAAAAAATATGTTCCGACGTCCTCCTGCGTCGTGACATGTGCAGCCGTGGCGACGAGGAGGCTCCGAAGCCTGAGAAGAATCCTCCTCCTCTCCCTTCTCCTCCTCATCGTAATCATCAGCAGCATCAGCAGCAGCATCAGCAGCAGCATCATCCTCAGCACCATCACCATCCTGAGAATCAGCAACATCGCTACCGTCGTCATCATCCTGACCATCATGCCCATCAGCATAAACATCATCATCATCAGCATCATCATCATCAGCATCAGCATCATCATCATCATCACCACCACCACCACCATCATCATCATCATCATCATCATCATCATCATCATCATCGTCGTCATCGTCATCGTCATAATCAGCAGCATCATCATCAACCTGATCATCGTCCTCATCCTCATCATCGGCATAATCGGCATCGTCATCGTTATCGTCATCAGAATCACCATCATCATCATCATCATCAACACCTTCAGCATCAGCATCAGTATCATCATCAGCAGTCGCATCAGCATCATAATTATCATCAGCAGCATCAGCATCATCATCATGATCATGATCCTCGGCAGCATCAGCATCGTCATCATCATCATCAACATCACCATCAACCTCATCTACAGCATCAGCATAGCCATCGGCATCCTCATCATCAACAGCAGCAGCGTCATCATCAGCAATATTCATCATCGTCGTCATCGTCAACATCGTCATCATCACCATCAGCATCATCATAATCACCATCATCATCATCATCATCATCATCATCATCATCATCATCATCATCATCATTATAAACATCATCATGATCATCCTCGTCATCATCGTCGGCATCGTCATCATCACTGCCTTCATCAACAATTTCATAGTTGTACGAACAAACAACAACATTCGCATTATCAGCATCAGCATCAACCTCATGATCATGATCATCAGCATCATCAGCATCGTCAATATCAGAATCGTCTTCATCATCACCACCATCATCATAAGTAGCATCATCATCATAAGCAGCATCATCATCCTTAACAGCATCATCATCATCATCATCCTGAACATATCCATGAATCGTCATCGTCGTCAACATCATCACCAGTCACCAGCATCATCATCATAAACGTCATCAGCGTCATCATCATCATCATCATCAGTATCATCATCATTATCCTGATCATCATCGAGGTCGTTATCTTCATCATCGGGAAAAAACTCAAACATGCTGTGACACTCTGCTGAAAACTGAGTCACCTAACGTCGGGCCCTCACGCCCAGCGGTGCGCGACTTGCGGTCCTCCTCGCGCCCCCGCGCCCTCTCGTGCCGCCCCCTCCTGGACAAGGGTGCCTCTCCGGCCGAGACCGCGATACGCGCAGCGCGGTTACAGTCGACCTGCATCATAAGGACGCACGATCCGGATGCAAGGGCCTTGGAAGGCCGT